TTAAAGCTGTTATTGATGGTGTATTGCTCTTTCGTGTTAGTGAAAAGTTCTGGTCACTGGCTGATAAATACACTGTATGCAAGCTATTTCATAGTTTAAAAGGGGTCAAAAGGACTTTTTTGAAACAAAATACCCAACATTACCTGCAACCGTAGATGAACGAACAGAAATATCTAGAAATGTTATACAGAAGGCAATATCCAACGTTCAAAAACATCGGAAGATACAGCGAGAAGCTTACACCCGTTAGTGTCCTTCGGACACAATTAAAAGTAGGTAACTCGCTACTATCGTTAATATATCAAATATTCTGTAGTAAATGTTACTCAAATTTATTCTAATATATAAATAGATATTGAAAGTTACTACTTGTGTTACTCCCTTTTTATATAAATCATTATGTTAATCATAGGACAATTTTACGTGTCTAAAATAAAAAATATTTTCCTCCACTGAAACTTTTTTTCGACACCAGAGGAAGTGCTCATCGTCATATGCCGTTCAAGAAACTTTCGGTGGCGGAAGAAGGCTTTCAAATTGCTCCCCCTCCCCTTTTCCATTAAAATAAAGGACTTATTCTGGTGTGTCCACATCTCATTTTTCGGAGTAACGTGCTGATGAGTCTTATATGTCCTCTACTTAACATGAGTGGTCTTTGAACTCGAACACTTTCTGTAAAGTGAACCAGAGCACAAAATTAGAGAAGAAGATTCAAGAACATGAATTATTTCACTTTGTAGGGTATCTGTAATGAAACTGTAAAGGATTCATAATGTCAGTGTAATGAGGCCGTTAAAAGTAAGAATACGAAAATTGGGAATTTAGGAGTAATTAATGTAATCACTTCGGTTTTCGAAAGGAGTGTGAGGTAGCAAATTCTTATTTTGTTATGGTTTTGTTTACAGGTAACTTCTTCTTTCTATCGTTTAGCTAATCTGTCAGTTTTCAGTTTACACTTAAACGCTAACTCACCTCCTAGCTAATCGAATTAACTTTCAGATTCTACGAGTTATCAGACTGACACCAGTTTCCCATATCGGTGACGTACAGATATTTATGTTGGTAAATAGTATGTAAATAATGATTATATGAATTAATCTGTTCTAACTAGTTAATTAATTATTGCAGCTTAGCTTGTCTCTGAACTCGAGGATTTTCCATAACTTGAGCCGGAAGGTAGAGAAGTTGAAGATTGAAGAATATGAACGGATTTTCTTTGTAAGGTATATGTATTTAAACTGTGCAGGATTCATGATGTCAGTATCACACGGTCGTTAAAAGTAAGGATAGGAAAATTGGTAATTCAGGAGTTATTAATCACTTCATTTTTCGAAAGGGGCAAGGAGTGTGAGGTAGCAAGCTTTATTTTTTATTTCTTTATGGTTTTGTTATCAGTTCACTTTATTCTTTCTATTGTTTAGTTAATCTGACATCAGTTTCCCTATCTGTGACTTGTAAATAATAATGTCGGAGAAGAGTGTAAATAATGTTAAAATACATCTTTAATTTCTTGAATATAAACCGTGTCATGAGCTTCAATAAGTTTGTTCACGAGAGTTAGTGGAGAAGTATCTGTTATTAGATGTTTTGTATAATATTTCAATAAATAAAAGAAATTAGAAAAAGAAAGCATATGCACAAAACTCCTGTTATTAGTGGTATATTCTTTCATGTTAGTACAAGTCCTAAACACTTTCATATCCATAAGCTCTATACGAATTACTTAATAGTTTATAAGGTGTCAAAGAACGATGTTTTGAAGACAACCAACGAACACAACTATTTCAATACGTTATACAGAAGACAAGATACAATGTTGATAAGCTAGTAACGGTAAGTCACAACTAAAAGTAGTTAACTTCCAAATGATATTATTATAAATACATCCATTATCTTCTGGAGTAAACAATTTTACTTAAATTTATTTTATATTGAATTGGACTGTCCAAACTCACTGGTTGTGATTAGTTTTTTTGTTAATTTAAAAGATATAATTTTTTTTTCTCCAGTTAATTCCTTGACACCATTCTTATCCTAGGTATTTTCACAAAATTGAAGGCTTGGAGATTTGCCCAACAAAATAAACAACTAATTCTGGTGTATCCAAATCTCATCCTTAGACAGAACATGCTAATGACTTTTGTCTTCTGCTCAACCTAGCTGATCTCTGAACTGAACTTTCTGCAAGTTGAACCCGAATAGGAAAGTAGAGAAGATGAAGCTCAAGATTCAAGAATATGAATTATTTCTACTTGTAAGGTTTCTGAAACTGTAATGGATTCATAGTGTCAATATAGTGAAGGCGTTAAAAGTAACGATACGAAAATTGGGAGTTTCGGAATGATTAATATAATCACTTCGGTTTCCGAAAAGGGAAGGAGTGTGAGATAGCAAATTCTGTTTTTGTTATTCTTTTGTTTACCATTCAATTATTTCTTCTATCGTTTAGTTAATCTGTCTATTTTTAACTTTCATTTAAACGCTAACTCACACTCTAGTTAATCACATCAATTTTTTTTAAATTGTATGAATTATCAGACTGACCCCAATTTTCCATAGGGGTGACATACAGATATTAATGTTGGGAAAGTGTGCGCATGAATTCTGATCTCTTGATGTGAGTAGTTTAGTCAGTTATCACAGATTAGCTGGGTTTGGAACCCAAGGACTTCCATTAAACTGAATTAGAGCCGGAAGCTAAAGTTCAAGCCGAATATAGAAGATAATGTAATGATTTTTCCTTGTAAGGTATCTGAAATAAAATTGTTAAGGAATGACGATGTCAGTATCATGAGGGCGTTAAAAGTAAGGATACTAAAATTAGGTATTTTGAACAGTGATTAATGTAATCCCTTTCTTTCTAAAGGGGGAAGGAGTGTTAGGTAGAAAGTTTAATTTTTATTTAATTTTGAATTTGTTAACCGTTCTTATATTATTCATTCTCTCGTTTGGTTAAGTTGTGAATATTTAGTTTTAAATTTAAACGCTAATTCACAATCTAGTTATTCACATCAATTTTAAGTATTGGACTGACACCAGTTTTCTATAACGGTGACTTGTAGATGTTAATGTTGTTAAAGAGCATGTAAATAATGATCACATGATTTTAAATCTCTTGGTCTAAATAGTTAATTATTGCATCTTAACTGGTCTTTGAATTCCATTTCCTGTAACCAGAGCCGGAAGGTAGAGAAGCTGAAGATGGAAGAACACTACGATTGTTCTTTGTAAGGTATATGTACTTAAACTAGGCAGGAATCGTGGTGTCAGTAGAAGGAGGTCGTTAAAATTAAGGATACGAAAATTGGGAATTTATAAACGGTGATTAATGTAATCACTTTCTTTTTTCAGAAGAGGGAAGGAATGTGAGGTAGCAAATTCTATTTTTATTTCGTTATGGTTTTGTTTTCAGTTAATTTATTCTTTCTATTGTTTAGTTAACCTATAAAATGTTCAGTTTTACGTTTAAACGCTACCTCTCATTCTAATTAACTACGTCATTTAAAGCTTCTAAAAGTTGTGAGACTGACACTAATTTCCCGTATCAGTAACTTTCAGATTTTAATGTTGCAAAAGAGTATGTAAATAATGTTCCAACTTGTTGGAAATATTGATACTATCACGAGAAATAGTAAGTGTTATTGGTTATTTAAAACATTATACACTGTAGTTTTGTAAATATTGTATCTTATAATTCCTTTTATTTATAGAAATATTAATCATGATATTTATGGTATATTTTTCTTTCTAGGTAGAACAAAGTTCTGGCAATGGGAATACCCATAAACTACATCTGAACTACATAATTAGTTTTAAGGGGTCAAAAAAAGGACTTCTTTGAAACAACTGACAAAATACCCAACATCACCTTCAACCGTAGAAGAACGAACAGAACTATTTACAGATATTAAACAAATATTATCCAAAGTTTAAATGCATCGAAATATACAGCGAGAAGCTTACAACCGTTAGTATCTTTCCGACACAATTAAAATTTAATTTTCTAACGCTGTTATTAAGAATATATTTATTGTCTTTATTAAATTTTCTTATTCTAAAATATATTCTCGTATAGAATGGACTATCTAAACTTATTATTTATATTACTATTTTTTTTTTTTATATTGAAAAAAAATCAATTCAATGGTAGAACAATTTTACTTCTCTAAATTGAAAAATATTTTCTCAAATTATTTCTATACCAGAAAATGCTAATCGTTCTATATCGTTACAGAAAAAAGGCTTGGAGAGCGCCTCCCCTCTACATTAACAACTTATTTCGACGTGTCCACATCTCTTCCTTCGAACCAACGAGTCATGTGCTCAACCTAGATGGTCTTGAAACTCGAGCACTCCCTGTAAGGTGAACCACAGCAGGAAACTAGATAAGATTAACCTGAAGAGTTAATAACATAAACAATTTGTCCTAGTATCTGTACTTAACTGTGGAAGGGGGGGATTCATAATGTCAGTATAACGATGACCTTAAAAGTAAGAATACAAAAATTTGGAATTTATACGGAATGACTTTATCATCTCTTTCTTTGTCTAAAGCGGAAGGAGTGTCAGGTAGCATATTCTATTTTTATTTTGTTATGGATTTATTTACCGTTCATTTATTATTCATTCTATCGTTTAGTTAACCTCTGGATTTTTATTTACACTTCAACGCTAACTCGCCTTCTAGCTAATCTCATCAATTTTGAATTTATATGAATTATTAGACTGACATCAGTTTCCCATATCAGTGAGGTACAGATATTAATATTGGTAAAGAGTATGTACAAAATTTATTTAATTATTACAAATTAACTGGTCTTAGAACTCTAACTTCGTTAAGCTGAACTAGAACCTAATGCGAAAGTCGAATATATAAAAAATGGTTTCTCCTTGTACTATATCTATAGTTAAACCGTGTAGGATGTCAGTATAACGTTACAAGTAAGGATTTAATTTTAAACTGAATAATGTAATCACTTCTTCTAAAGGGGAAAGAGTGTGAAATAGAAAGTTTAATTTTATTTCATTTTGGATTTGTTTACATTTATTTCTCATTCTATCATTTAGTTAATCTATAAGTTTTTAATTTGCACTTGTTATTCCCATAAATTTAAAATTTTGATTATGAGACCGACACCAGTTTCTCATAGCGGTGACTTATAGATGTTAATGTTTGTAATGAGTATATAAATAATGATCATATTATTTCAAATCTCTTGATCTAATTAATTATAGCAACTTTGCTGGTCTTTGGACTTAACTTACCGTAACCTGAATCTGAGCAGAAGGTAGAGAAGCTGAAGATCGGAGAACACTACGCTTTTTCCTTGTAAGGTATAAGTACTTAAACTGGGCAGGATTCATGGTGTCAGTATAATGAGGTCATTAATAGTAAGGGTACTAAAACTGGTAATTTATAAGAAGTGATTAATGTGATCACTTCGGTTTTCGAACGGGGAAGGAATACGAGGTAGCAAATTCTACTTTTATTTCGTTATGGTTTTGTTTTCTGTTCATTTGTTATTCTTTCTATTGTTTAGTTAACCTGTAACATTTGTTTTCCGTCTAAACGCTGCTTCGCATTCTAATCAGTTACGTCATTTAAAGTTTCTAAAAGTTATGAGACTGATACCAGTTTCCATTACCGGTGACTTGCAGATATTAAAGTTGTAAAGTTTTTAATGTTCTGAATAAAGACTTTATCATGAGTTTCAATGACTTTTCTCACGTGATAGTGATCAAATGTTGTTATTCGATGTTTTAAGTTTTATACACGTCTTTGTTCCATTCCTTTTGCTATTTCTTTATATGAATATTAAACCGTTATTAATGGCATATTGTTCTTTCGTGTTAGTGGAAAGTTCTGGCCACTGGCTCATTCATACACTGTATGCAGGCTATTTGATAGTTTACAAGGAGTAGAAAAAGGACTCTTTGGAAACAAAATACCCAACATTACCTGGAACCGTAGATGAACGAACAGATCTACCTAGAAATGTTATACAGAAGGCAATATCCAACGTTGAAAAACATGAAGATACAGCGAGAAGTTTAAACCCGTTAGTCTATTTCGGACAAAATTAAACTTGGTTAACTCACTACTATCGTTAAAAATACATCAAATATGTTCTCGAGTGAATCTTACTGAACTTTATTCTAAGACTGAATGAAAAATTAAATTAAAAGTTAA